GTTATAAGAAATGTATCCAGAATAGATGAAGGTAATATTATTGTGCTCAGCTGAACATGAAAAAGATTACCCCTTTGCAACTTCTGAAAGTCACTTTCTGCTCTTCACCAGAGAGCTGAGATGATCTCAGCTGCTCTGCAAACTTTAGGAGAAATTTATTTGCAAATAGTTCAGTAGTTAAAGCTAACATTTCCTTTATTAAAGTTTTTTTAATGTTTTGCACAAGCAATTGTTTGAAGATCAGGAAATGAGCTTTTCCTTTCGGTTGGTCTAACCACAGTAAGATGGAGTCTTGGGTCAAGGAGATACATGCTGGGATGTTAAATAGTTACCGGTACACCGTGGTTTCTTTCAAGAAGCCTCATTTAGGCTCAAGTGCTTCAGGCAGGCTCTGGATGTACCAGGGTGGATCCTCTAGTTAGCTTTGCTTTTGTTCCAGGGTATGGAGTGCTATAAAGTTGGAATGAAGGTGAGGTTGAAGAGGTGTTTGACCCCATAGTTCTCAGGGAAATCATAGACTAAAAGATATAGCTAAAATTACTGCATGCGTAATATGCAAAAGGGCTCTTGTTCCTATGACTTTAAAATAAATTACTTTAAAGCCATTGACGAAATCTTCCTATGAATCATACTTAGCTAAAATACGTGACCCATGAGATTCTGTATACAGTGTGTCACATTTGTTAGTTTTGCATCAACAAATATAAAAACAAGAGACATCAAATCAATATGTAACCCCAGGAAAGTTAATTTGGGTAAGTTCTTACTCTTTTCATCAGGAAAGGGAGGCTATGGAAAGATGTTGATGGATCACAAAGTCTCTTCTCATTCTTCTTTTGTTTGAATGTTCTGAGAGTCTATGAAAGGCCCTAACTCTGGAGACACCGGGAAAGCTTTACCCCCAGAACAGGTGACTGAGGTGAATGATGACCAGGACACCATGGCTGGTCATAACAGTAATAAGCATGGGCAGAACAAGTCAAACATGAGAGCTCTAAAAATTCTAAGGGCTCCAAGTGACATCATGAGAAAAGATCCTAAAGATTACTTATGATCTAGAAAGACACTGACTAATAGCTAAATCCTGTAGGAAGCTCTAAACGTGATCCATAGAGCAGGTTTAACCTTAAATACCGATGGGGTTCTGAGAGGAGGTCAAGAGTTTGAGAAGAGATAGATGGGAAGATGAAGAGAGAAGGAGGAGAGATAGGAGAGGGGAAGAGAGATGTTAATTGGCTGGATGGTTGGTTGATTGGTTGATTGACTTAGGGCAGTACAATGTTAACCCCCAAAGAGGAAGTAGCAGAGTCTTAAAGCACTGAAGACTTCTCAGAAAATAAAAAGATTCTATGTATAAAAATATCATTTGTGTAAAAGTGATACCCTCTTCCTACAGCAGGTTTTGCTTTGCCAGGACATGGGGTGGAATCTGCATTCCTGGAGCGGACAGTTTCTATGTTCTAGAAACATTGTGAGTTTGGAAGTTATTTTGTCGTGAGAAAAGCTAAAATTTAGGTTTATAATCTGATGACATTTGGGATAAGTATCTAACAAATGTTTATAGTTCTTATTTTTTAGACAGAGAACACTGCCTCCACCATATGAACAGACGATTTTCCTCTTTGCTGAAGTTCTCTAAGCCATATACTCTGCAAACATCCATCTGTAACTCAATTGTCAGGAAGTGTCATGAAGTGCAGCCAATGCTGTGGTACAAGACTCTTCATTCCAATATTATTTACCAAAAATAGATAGATAATCCATATGTCCACAACAGGGTAATAAACAATATTATTTATAAAAAATGTGGAAATAATACACATGACCGCAATAGGGTAAGAGTGAACAAGTCACAGAGTAAGCATGGAGTGAGGCCAGCATTGCCTCTAGAAGGTTATGTTCTTGGTGGTTTAAAATGTTTGATTTAGGTTTTGATAGTAAACATGATAAAATGACTCTTTAAAAACTTAAAAATCACATGCTATTTTAATTCACAAATATTATAAATAATAATTTGTTTTACTTAGGCTATATAAATAAAATTCTCAAGACGGAAAATACCGTAAATACAAGTTTGCATGTATGTTCTAATTATATATAGAATTGTGATGGTGGCATAGCAAAAATGTCAATTCTTTCTTTTAGGCAGAACAACAAACCTAAATGTAATGCAGAGACCTGACGAAGTTTCTTTTCTCTATTTCCAGGTGCGTATTCTCAGCTCCTTAGAACCCTTTTCTTAAAGAAGAAAGAATTGATTGAAGATTTGACAAGCATGCAAACACAAAGGCGGGGCTCTAGGTTCACTGGAAAAGAGAAACTGGAAGTAAAGAGAAATTAACGCTACTTTCAGAGCTAACTGGAGCCTTGGAATTAAATAAAAGAATATTTTCCTATCAATCATTTATGCATTTTAAGCAGTATAAATGTCCAAAGACGAATACCATGTCAAATTCTCTAAGAATCCTATTTTCAGCATCTTGGTTGTTAGCTGGTCTCTTCTCATGATAACTGGTTGACCACCCACTCTCTACAGGAGCTAAAGAACTTCCAAAGATGACTGGTGATGAGGGCTTTGTCTCTTTACAGTATGGTACTTTGTCTGGTAAGGCCTGGCAATGCTGATGAGCTAGAGGGCCACACATTTAGCTAGCATAAGCTACACAAATCACAAGCCATTAACTGCTGCATTGCTTATGAAACCAGTGTGGAAGGACTATATGCATGAATGAGATTGCTGATGGTCTGCGATTCTCAACCTCGTCTGAGAGAATAGTCTTGAATATGGAATGAAGAAAAACACCACAAGGGAATAAAACATTCATCTAATGAAAACAAAATTAATAAAAGCTTTGGCTCCCAACTGATGTTATTGGATTCTCTTTATTTGAATCTTTAATATTAGCACGAACCATAGCCAAACTCTAATAAGGTAGCATAATTATCTTTCAATTATGTATTTGCTGTTTGATTAAATATTAAAGCTCTATAAGTGGTTATACTTTGCACTGAAAAGCAAAATAAAATGAAAGTGAACAAGATACAAGAAAAACCTGTCGATATTTTTTCTCTCTGAAAAAATGATCAGCCTGCATGAGACTTGTCCGAGCAGAGCCCAGGCAATCAATGCATGTGAGATCTAGTCATGACACTCTATTTTACCTCAAATTAGACCCATGTTTGTAATCCTTCCCTTAAAGCACATGCTTGACAAAAATTTTGAATTTTAGATATGTTAGCAATTAGCCTCAAGAAAAGTTTCACTGAAGTTTGGGGCCATCTTATAAGTGGAAAAGATGTCTAAAGGGTATCAGAAGATGCAGTTTCATTGGGGGATTAGCTGGGACCTAACAACATGGGATGGAACCCCAAAAGGAGCCAGTGGAGGAGGTGAAGGAGACACAGCCTTAGGCTTTGATTGACTTGGGGAATGAGAACGTTAACAAGCTAGCACTCCAACTACTTTTCTATATAGGCTCACGCTTTGCCTCCATCCTGTTTTCTAGTCTAAGGCATTTCATCAAATTCTTTGAATCTTTTTGAATAATTATTACTTCTTACAAGCAACCAAAGGGACACAATCCTTTTTCTGTTCCTCCCCTTTCGCTGTACTCCATATAGGAACTACAAGTTTTCATTTTCCCATAAAGGGTGAGGACATGAATGGCACTGGTACTGTGGGCCACCCTATGCCTGTTTCCATAATGGAGTCTGTCTAGGTAGAACAGGAGGAAACCAAGCAAGCTTTGGGAACAGGGCTCAAATCCAGCGTGAAGGGCTAGCTGAAGGACTGTGGAAACCATTTACCCTTTTGTGCTGTTAGAAGCTAATAAGTATTCAAAATAGCAGGGCTGCAGTTCAATGAAATGTGGGCATGGACATTTAAATCCATACAACTTTTAGGTGTCACAGATTTTTTTCTTTTGTCATTTTCAGCCATTCTTTAAAAAAAATATCCATCTTTATCTCATAGCCAGTTCAAAACAGACAGTGGGCAGCTACAGCGAGCTGACCTACCCTGAGGTGAGCTGCTTATCAAGCTTGTAAGGCTCTGGAATGATGCAAGAAGGAAAGTGATTATATTAAGCAACGTTGAAAAGGAAAACAATGTAAACATTGGGATCAGATTGACGAGAAACGACATAGTCCTAAACATGCCCGAATCTACTTCACTTTGCAGGCAGTCCTAGGAATGATTGATCAGTCTTTCGGTAGCACAGCTTGAAGACCAAAGCATTGGAGTCTTGTCAATGTTTATTGAGAGAAACGAGTGAGTAGTGACTGAAGTATAGATTCAGGCACAGGGTTCAAACACAGCATGAAGGGCCAGCTGAAAGACTGTGGAAGTCATTTGCCCTCTTTGTGCCTTTAGAAGATAAAGACTCCTAAGTCTGTTATGAGAATTAAATATAACTCTCATAAAATGCTTAGAGATAAATTGTGCTAATGGCAAAAAGATGTTAGATATTATCCTGGATATCAACATAAACATCAGTCATAGCAGTTCAACCCAAAGGGAAAGGACCCATGTAAGTGCTTTGGTAGAAGTCATCCGACATGGGGATTTTAGAAAGAGACACATTTTAAAAAATGTTTGAGCTACTTGTTGATTTAGCTATGACTGTAAGGAATGGTACAGAGACACTGATGTACAATACAGGTTGTCCAATTTCCCTCAATAGGAATATTTTCATAACTATACTACAATCTCCCAACTAGAAAACTGACACAGGCATGATCCAGAGTTTAAACAGATTTCACATGCACTCAAATGTGTGTGTGTGTGTGTGTCTTTTCTAAACCTATTGTTTAGCAGAAGCATCAGATAGAGAACTGGATCATCAATTCAGGATTACAAATGACACTTAAAGGTCATCATTTACATTAGTATAGATCACACAACTGAGTAATACCACCAATATCAAAAGTGGCTCACTGACGGAGACTCCACCACCAGGATTTGACCTGCTGCCATATGCTCTCCTTCACCTCCTCTGCCTTCTTCACCCTCACAGTTTCATTCTATATAGAGGAACTAAGAGAGCTGAGAAGGGAAGTTAGAGAAAATAAACAAAACATAACGCCACACTCTCCACGTAAACCACTTAGAGATATGATAAAGGCTCGCTTCTTTAAAATTCAGATTTTGAATAAAGGTTTTGCCATCACACCAAGGGGCCTTCGAGTCTGGATTCCTTTTCACTCTGAGATGGGCAAGGTGATTTCATCCACAAGGGCAGAGAAGGCCCTGCACACCTGCTCGGCTCTGCCATACAGCTCCATATCCACCAAAGGCTGCAGACCTGAAACCAGCATAGAGAGAAGGCTTTTAGGGAAATAAGTATCTTGGGTTCTAAAGATCTATGTGGCTACAGCTCTGGCTCACAGAGAAGAATCAGATCCCATCTTCGATTCATTCTTGAGGATGCTTCCCTTTCCCTCAACAGAAAAGATAACCAGTACTTAACTCACTCTGGTGTGTCCTACAGTACCATCTCAGCTGCTAGAATAAAACAGTGGAACTGGATAGCCTACTCCAGAGGGCTGTCATAGAAATGTCATTATACCATAATGCCCTGAAGACTGTTGAAACATCTTGCTACCCACTCCCCACCACTCACCCAGCCCATGAATCTGCATCTGAATATCCGGGTGACTCTGGAGTGGCAGACTGGGGAGAATATGGCTATATTCTGAGACCACCTCCCTGCAGCTAACAGTAGAGACTCCATCAGAAAGCCCTGGCTAGTCAAAATACAGAGAATACAATTGTGAGGAGCCCAGCCTAATGGATATGTGATATAATATAACTCCTGTACCCAAGGCTCAAGGAAATCAAGGAAAAGAAAGATTGTAAGAGACAGAGGACCAGGACATTTGCTGTGCAATAGTATCTTCTATATATGACGGGGAAGTTGCATCCATGGAATCACAACAATATGACTGCCTTGTTTAAGACCTGAACAATAGCAGCAGCAGCTAAAATGCTAATGTGCATGGGGGAAATCTCATGGGACCCCACCCCTAGATGAAGGGCTACAAGCAATTAATGACTACTGACTGAGCGAGGGACAGTCTTCCCTAGGAATGAGACCCCTAACTGGTTATCAAATACCAACTGGTCAATCCTAAAATCATACTCATGTAGCAACACTATGTAGACTTAGTGAGTTGTATTTATACATTTGTTTGTGTCATATATAGTAACAATAATTAAAGAAAAAGGGGCCATGAACCTGAGAGAGAGTAGGGGCTAGAGGTGGACATGGAAGGAGTCAGAGAGATGAGACACATTGATTTTAAGAAGGTTTCAGTCTTCCCCCTCGATCTGTTGTAATAGGAATTGGTTGCAAAACTAACAGAACTTGGCAGCTGCTGTTTAAAAATTTGATATGTATAATCTTTAAAACAAGAACTTTTATTTTTAAGAAATCTGTTCTTATTTACATTTCAACATCCCCTAACATGTTAAAGAAGTAAAGACACATATGTGCTGATAATTTTTAAAAATACAGTATTCTAAACTGTTAAGGATTATTTGTAAGAAGCAGTGTGAGTGGTGGACATGCTAATGAACTCATTTTTAGAAAAGTCTTGTATTTGACATTTTAATTTACAGTCAACATGTAACATGACAAGAGCATAGAATGAAGACTCAGAAAATCCTTTTGATAGTGTCATGGCTATGTTGCAGCTATATCTGCACTATTTCCTGTGGGATACAAGATGTTATCTCCAGAATGGTTAAAACATTTAATTTAAAATTATACTTATTGAATTGTTGATGTATTTAATGTATATATGTGTATGCACACATGCATGAGTATGTGCACACATGTGTGAGTATGTAAACATATGTATATGTACATACATGTGAGTATGTGAACATGTGCGTGTGGGAATGCGTATGTATGTGCTTGCATGTGTGAGTATGTGCATGCATGTGTGAGTATGTGCATGCATGTGTGAGTATGCACCTCAGCACACGTGGAGGTCAGTGGACAACTTGTAGGATTCAGTTCTCTCCTTCCACCATCTAGGTTCCAGGGATGGGATTCAGGTCATAAGACTAGGTAGTATGCTTGTTGACCTCATCTCTTCCACACACCCCCAATAAAAACTAAATAGAGTGATTCAGAAACAGGACAGCAGTATCCACTTCATACACAAGAGTTTTTCTTCTTGTTGCTCTTGTAAGCTCCTTTAAAAATATGTTTTAAAAATAGCTAAAGATATGACCAAGAACCTAGTCCTCTCCTTGATCTATACTTATAACACATACACACATACTTTGCATTACACACGGTCACACACACATGTGCATGCATACCCACACATGCACACACTTATGCACATGTACACACATACAATGTGTAAACATGTATGTACACACAACCATGCACGCACACACACACACACACACACGGACCAAATAACTGGTTATATACTTATGTAAAAATGTGTGTGTGTGTGTGTGTGTAAGTAATATAGCATATAGATTAGAAACTGATAGTCCAGAGGAAATCACCATACCAAAACTATTTAGTTAAACATAATTTAAATCAGGAATGTGCTAGAAGGCTATCAGAAGGGTAGATGTAGAGTCTAGAAACTATTGAATCATCTGCTCTGTGGTTATTCTTCTGGAATAAATACTGAAATACTGAGCCCCTGTCCTTCTGACAGCATTTAAGCAAACCAAGTGGAGAAACACTCCATTTCAGTATGGTGGTATTCTGTATTCCTCTTTAACATATTTGTTTTCATCAAGTGGCTTTTGGGCTATAATAGCTTTGGCTAGGTAGTGTTATTTTTCTTTGAACAGAGAATCAGTAAGGTCAAAGACAGAGCCCCTGAAGTTAGTCAGATAAGGAAAGTGAACAGCAAAGAAAGCTCAAGAGGGGTGTGGGATGCAGTCGAGCAGACACTGTACCTGTTACATACATTCTAGGGCAGAATAGAATGCATTTTGAATGCATCAGACAGTTTCTCTTTAGCTTGAGAAATGTGTTTATGGTGTTATGAGCATCACTTTTGCCAGGTTCATAGTTTCTTTTGTATTTGACTTCTGATGATTTGATTATAATGTGTCTTGTCTTGTGGTGGGCTCCTTTGAGTTCTTTTTGGGGTTTTCAGTGCCTTGTTGTTGTGGCACTCCATTGTCTTTCCAATACTTGATGCTTGGAGCCATTGTTTCTTTGGTTATGCTTTCTGGTCCTCTATTCTGCCCTAGAATGTATGTAACAGGAACAGTGTCTGCTCGACTGCATCCCACACCCCTCTTGAGCTTTCTTTGCTGTTCACTTTCCTTATCTGACTAACTTCAGGGGCTCTGTCTTTGACCTTACTGATTCTCTGTTCAGCTTGATTTTGTTTTCCATTGACTGCTTCCACTGTAAATTTTCTTTTCTTTTTGAATTTCAAATTTTCTGTGAAATTCAACACACTTTGTTCTTTGTTAAAATTTCATTCATCGATTGCCTGATCTCATTGACCCTCTTATTGGCGATTTACAAATATTTTAAGTTGTTTTAGGTTATCATACAAAGTGATGGATTTCATTAGGAATTTTTATATATGTGGCATTAAACTTTGTTGCTATTCATTCTCCTTCTCTGCTTCCCTTCCTCTGCTGCTCTCCACCCTGGACCACTCCCGTTGGCTGGTCCCTTTTCTTGCCTCAGATAATGTCAACCCGCCCCACTTCTCACATGTGTTCCATTATCTGGTGATCATCTTGATTTCTCTGTCAGATTACTTATATATTTCTCCTTTTTGAGGGTCCATTTCTGGAACTCTGTCTTGTTGCTTTGACTGGACCAGCTTTTTCATCTTCTTCCTCCTCATCCTAGGAACCACACAGCCAAAATAAAACAAACCAACCAAACAAACACACAAAAACCTCCCACAACTTCTACTCTTCATTCGTTCTCATAAAGCTCTTCCTGTATTCTCATGGGAAAGCCCCTGTGACAGGTTCATTAGGAACACACTTCTCAAATTTTCCTATTAGTCTGAGCTTCTGTTTTTGTTGTTAGAAACCCTCGGATATGTAAAATGTAAAGATAGTTTCTTTCAATCTTGCACTACAGATTTTTTTAAAGGTCCCTACCAGTGTCACCACCACAACTAACAACAATAAAAGTAGTGCTCACACTTCCTTCCAATGAAGGTATCTTTTTTTTTTTTATATTATTTTTTTTTATTGACGAGTACACTGTAGCTGTCTTCAGACACACCAGAAGAGGGCATCCAATCTCATTACAGATGGTTGTGAGCCACCATGTGGTTGCTGGGATTTGAACTCAGGACCTCTGGAAGAGCAGTCAATGCTCTTAACCGCTGAGCCATCTCTCCAGCCCCAATGAAGGTATCTTAATCGTTAAATTAAGACTATAATTGGAAACAGATGATATTTGGGTACTTCAAATTGTTTAAAAAATTAGATAATTTTAATTGCATATTATGTATTATAATGTCACTTGAATTTAGAAATACTCTCAACTTTTATAATTTCCCTTCCTTTTATGATTTTTCCTTTATACATCGATGCTTGTATAAACACATATGAATAAATTTATATGAGAGATCTTGATATTTCTTAAATATGCATCATTCTTACTTATTTATCCTTACTTATTCAACCAGATCTTAGAAGAGTTACAGTGTTGAGCTGTACATAGTTATAGTTACTTATTCAACCAGATCATGGAAGAGTTACAGTGTTGAATTGTGCATAGTTACATAGTTACACAGTCAAACTGATTTCTTTCAGGGCAGGAATGTGGGATTGGTGTTTTATTCAGCCCCATGTTTTGTACTGCCTGTGAGGAGAGAGCAGCCTTGGCGAGTGCTGTCATGTCGGCTTACTGCCTCTTTGCTTTCCAGCCACACCTTCCTGCTCCAGCCCCTGTCTTCCGTCTTCAGCTTCTGTCTTTCCTGAGCACAACTGAGACAAACAGTGGCAAGTGGAGGGCTAAGCAGATGAGCGAGAGGAAAAAGGATTTACCAGATGTGTGTGTATGGAACTCCACTCTCAAATGGAAAGAAATAGCAAATGAGATAATAAAGCCAGAGGTTATACAGTTTTTTCCTTTTGTCATAAGAATATTAAAAACTTCTTCAAATCTAATTTGTTTTTTGAAAGTTTTAACCTAATTCATTTGCTACTAACTTTCAACATTCAGAATTTAAAGAGGTTTGGGGACCTCCTTCTATAAAATTCTCTCCTACCCCGTCTGTCTCTGTTTTTCCCTCTCTTCCTCCTTCCCTCCCTCCCTCCCTCCTCCATTTCAATTAAACT